TTCTGCAAGTTTGGGGGTGGTAGGAGGGAAGACGTGTGGAGTGTAAGCCTGGCCTTTCTTTCCAGCTCCATGAGGTACTGTGATTCTTACTCCCCAAAGGAAGGACTTGAAGATATGAAAACGAGGCCGGAATGTGGGTTACTTTCTGGAAATAAATGAGATGATGGGCCCTGTGGGCCTCCAAATATAAGAATGTCCTACCAGGCAGGGCACTGTGGTCTGTATCTGAGCCTGGGGTGTCTAGGGTGAACACACACAGGCATGCAGGTGGGTGACCAGGGAGTACTTGTCCTCTGTCCTGACTACAGACCCTTGACAGCCCACCTCTGCCTTTTCTTCTCTTCCCCAAATTTGGATCTCAGACTTCATGCTTGGAGGCCTGAAGGGCTTGGGGCCTGCTCTTACTAACCCACAGCTTGACACTCACCCTAGAATTCTCTACAAGACGGTGCAGCCAGAAGCTCCTTTGATGCCTGGGAGCCTATCCAGGGAAGCTCTTTTTGATAACAGAGCTCATCCTTTGATCTCCACAGGGAGCAAGTTACCAACTTCATTTAAAAAACTTCTGACAGTTTTGCAGTTTTGTTGACTTGGCGCTATGAAAGTGTAAGATCCTAGGATGAAAAGCTCTACCTACGTATCAAATAATAATACGGTTATGCCCTAGGAGAAGAGAACTGGCTGTCTCCAGCTGAAGAAATACCTGTGTGTGCGTTGCTCTTCTTCTTCCGGTTCTGTACCCCTGTGACCGTTGTGAGAGATTTGTCGCCGCTGTGTTATGATAAACCACAGCAGCCCAGAGATCTGCTGGGGAGATGCTGGGCCCGGGCCAGGTGCCCCCACTGGTGTGCCCGTTCCCTTCTGTGTGCAGAAAGGAGTGTTTGGGAGGCTTGGCTCATTTCTGTGCTGTGACATCTGATTATGAAAGTCTTCAATCACGAAGGAAGGAAGGGGAAAGATAAGAAGATGATGAATTATCTTAAAATATTTTTGCATTTTACAGAGCAGAAGGATCAAAACTGGTCGGGCTCCATGAGTTCCCATTCTCCTGTTTTGTTCACTGGCTCTGTAGAAAGCAAAAGTGACTTAAGAAATTGGAATTAAAGGAGGAAGCCGAGCTGAAGGCAGGGACACTTCAACTGGGGAAAAATATCCAAACGTAATAAATAAGTGCGTTTTGGCTGATAGATTTTTCCATACTGAGTCATCATCGTTTGCTTTCTTCTGTGGCCTGGGGGAGATGCTCAGCTCGTCTCACCTCGTGGGGTCCTTGTGAGGAGCAGGTAGAACATCTTTATAAAGCACCTGGAGACAGGAGGCACTCGATAAAGGTTATTATATAGTCTAGCGGCAAAAGTAGGATTTTCTCATTTTTTTATTTGGTCTCGAGGTCCTTCTATAAAATGGGAGCTGAACTGTAAGTGCTGGCGGAGTAAACGGATGAGAGATGCTTAATGAGGGGGCCAGGACCGGGGGCTTGGGGCAGCGTGGCCCTGACCATCGATTGCCTGTGCTTGGGGACCTTTGTCCTGCTCATCAGTGCTTCTCCATTTTGAGGTAGTGCTTAACACTCGAAAGGAAATAATTTGGGATAGACATACCTGCTAAGATAACCTTGAAGCCAGTGTCCTTAAAAAAAAAAGGCATTAGATAAAATGGGAATAGAATTGACCATCTCGCTGGGGTACATTGTTCTCTTACTTTAGTTTCATAATTTCTCATAATTAAAACTAACAAAGGATTTAACTAGGTTGTGTCAAAGGTATTCTGTAGGACTCAAACCTATACCAGTGGGGGTCACTTTTGCTTATCCATGAGAACACTAAGATGAGAGGCGCCTGTTCACATCTATGTGGAAGTCTTGCAACCTGAAGGTCATGTCTCCACCGAGGAGGAGTGGGCAGAACAATCGTGACAATCACAGGACTAGCGTTTGTTAAGGGCTTGCTTTGTGCCTGCCTGGTCCTGGGTTAAGTGCCTTACCTACATTATTTGACTTAATCGTACAATACACCGATAAACTGGATTCTATCATTCTCTTCATTTATACAAGAAGAAATAGGTGTAGGGAGGTTGAGAAAATTACATGGTCTCATATAGATGTTTAGGTCATGGCATTGAGTCATAAGGGGATAAATTATGAGGCAGACACCTGTATAATTTTGTCTCCTCCAAGATAGCTCTTCCTCATCCCTGCCCCTAAACTCTGTGATTAATATTTTTGTTCACTTGTTCAAAACATTGCAAACCTTACAGCCAAAAACCATATTAGGCTCATGCACAAGCGAAATTTCATGTTTTACACGCCATTGCTAAGATTTCCAGAGCGGAAAGTGAGTTAACATAGTTAGGTGTATTTATCCATCAAGGAAATTCAAGGTTCCTACACTAAGTTCCAGGCTCTGTTCTAGGAACTGTAGCAAGAATATGTCAGTCAGGGCTCCCTGTTCCTGGGCAGTTTATACTGCAGTTGAAAGAGCTGGACAGTGAGTTAGTAAACACACAAAAAAGGAGCCTGCTATTTCAAAGTGAGAACTCAGAGGGCACCTTCAAGGAAGATGTTTGAGCTGAGCCTGAATGAAGTGGGTGGGGAAGAGGAAAGAGCCGGTGCAGAAGGCCCCTGGGCGACAGGAGGTTGGTGCTGTCTGAGGCAGAGAGGACACAGGGCCTGGGAAGTACAGGAGGTGACTATGTTGTTCTTAGAGAAATAGAGTTTTAAGCAGAAGGTGGACATGGTCTAACTGATAAGGTTAAAAGGTCTCACTGCCATTAATAAACGTGTAGGGGAGAAAATCAGAGATAAAGACTTAACGATGCTCCAGGGTGGCCCAGCGGGGCTTTGAGGAGTGGTCAGATTTGTGTTCTATTTTGAAGGCCAAGTTGACAGGACTTGTTCCGGGGTTGGTATGTATGGCACAGGGAGAAAGATGGATCACTTTGGCACAGGGGAAAGGATGACTCTAGGGCTTTGGCCTGAAAAAAGGGACCTGTTTGGGGGAACGGACCATGTTGTGTTAGCCAATAAGGAAATGAAGGGAGGCAGAAATTCGAGGGATGGAATTGGAGTGAACAGAATTCCATTTTTGGACAGGGGACATGTGAGATGTTTAGAGTAAGCTGGGGTGCCAAGGAATGATTGGGTAGCTGAGCCTGGAGTATGAGGTGCAGTGATTTATTTAATTCATTCCTTTTTAGGAGTTTTTAGACACTTTGGTTCTTGCAGCAACTTTCAGTATTTCAGAAACATTTTGTTGTTCAGGCTGTCTTTGATCCTTGAGGTTGGTACCTGGAGAGCACAGTCCTGTGATGAGCGGATGGGAGTTCTCTGCTGCTGCACTGTGCTGGGATATTTCTAAATAGTTTTTCAGACTCACGCAACTGTTTCCCTGAATTCACACACATACACTGTTTATTAAGGGTCTTGTAGAGATCTTATTTTTTATTTATGCGTGCTTCGCACAATAGTTAAGATCTAACAATCCGTTAGCAGTTAAGATCTGCTAATCATGTTTAAAAGGTTCTTGAAAATAGCCCCATGATGAGCAAGCCAGGTGTTGGTATTTGAGGATCTTGCCCACTAAATTTGGACCTGGCTGTCTCTTTACCACATGCAAAAGGCCAGTTGGAATACAGTCATTGAGGACATCAAGCGGGCTATACATCAGAAGACAGAAGAAAGGGGACAGATGATGACTCAGTGTGGAAAAATCTATCAGCCAAAACTCACTTATTTATTACGTTTGGATATTTTTCCCCAGTTGAAGTGTCCCTGCCTTAAGCTCGGCTTCCTCCTTTAATTTCAATTTCTTAAGTCACTTTTGCTTTCTTCTGTCAAGAGCACCTTTTATCCCCTCAAACTATGACATTGATGTCATTCTTTGATCTACTGCTCTCTGGAAGTGTTCTTACATTTCCAGTATTTTCTGTGGTTTGTTCCATTAGCAAGTCTGGTCATTCTTACTTCTTGGGCGCAGACAATTTCCCCTACACTTACTGGAATTACCCCTCTTGGATCGGAACCTCTGGGTTATACAGATTGCATCGTGGGCTTGCCCAGGTGATCAGATGTCTCCAGGTAGTAACGGGGCGGCGGGGGGGGGGGGTTCTGGGCAGCACAGAAGCCCAAGATGGCAGGATGGTAGGTTGGCTGTTCAGATGGGCAGATGCCTGAACACACTCTGGAAAACCAGCGTTCTCTCCTCTCTGAGTTTAACAGCTATGTGGCTGTGAGCAAGTTGCTGAGTTTCTCCAGGTCTCTGTTCTCTCCTCTGTGAAGTGGGGACAGTTCTAACCCACTTTTGATGTTCACATTAGATGAATGAATACTCGTAAAACACTTAGCGAGTATTTGGTAAATAAAAAGGGAACTCAGTAAACTTCACTTCCCTTTCAGGCCCCCTCTGAATCCTTTCATCTGGAAACAATAATCACGGGCTCTGAAACATGCTAAGAAATGTCTTTCAGTGAAGACAAGTCATGCTAGACTGAAACAGAGAAGAGAAATTGACAATTTTAAGACAAACTGGAGAAAAAGCGTGCAGGAGTTGTCAAGGAGTGGTTCCAGGACCAGACTGTGTGACCTGGGAAGTAGTTAGAAATGTGACTTCTCAGAGCTGCTGAATCTGAATTCTGGGGGCAGTGCTGGTGAGCCTGGGTTAATCCACCTAATTCTGATGCGTGCTGAAGTTTGAGAACCAGTGGTCTAGGGGGTAAATGCAACAGATACTGGGTGAAGAGCAATGGTGTGTGTTTCTGCGTGTGTATACATGTGTGTAGAATCTAACTGCTGAAACTGTTAAACCACGCCTGGTAATATCAGGAGACGCCAACCAAACTGGTGATTGTCTGTTTGTTTGTTTTTTTTGTTGTTGTTGTTGGTATTGTTGTCTGAATAAAATACCATATAATGGGAGTGTTTATTTTCAGTGACTTTACACTAAGTTCATTTTGTATTTAAAAAAACTTGATTCTTCACCTTTCTTCTTCTTTTTATTTTCTAGGAAATTCCACATACTTAGACGACCACGGGCCACCTCCTAGTAAGGTAAGGTCTTTGTGGACTAACCCCCCTTTCCCTTCTATCTGTACTTATAGCCTCTGACTCTGGTAGCCCCTGGGCCTCCAACAACCCCAGCCAGCTCTCTTCTGGCCCTAAATCATTCATAAGAAATAGCAGATGACAGATGTCAAATTAATCTTTGACTTACTATGAGGAAGAGCATGAAGATAACCCAGATGACGAGAGAGGAAGAGCCACTGTTGAGTAAGCGGCTGTCACTGCCCTGATATCAGAGCCTTAGACTGATTTCAGACCTTTGGGGGCTTCTCCTGTGTGCTGCCTCTTTTTAACTCACCTTGGCATCGATGCGATGGCCACACCCAGCCTTCCCGTGCCTGTGGGCCTGCCTCACATCTGCCCCATTCTCCCTGGCTCACCTGGGTGGGGATACCCCACCTGTGGCCCCTCCAGTTGCCTCTCTAGGCTGCTGTGGCCTGGCCTGTGTCCCCCTTTGCTCTTCCTGTAATCAGTTTTGCCTGGCTTCTAAGGGACAGAATAGTCCATGACCACTCTATACTTTCTTGAGCCCAGTGAAAACAAAATGCCAATCTGCTGAAAAATGAGAAAAAGAGAACGAAATGATCAATGTCTATAAGAACAAGCATGTAATGCCGCATCTAGTCTTTATTCTAAACTTAACTCTTTTGTCTTTTTGATAGCAACTTTTTTTTTTCTTACAGGAAACAATGGGGATAGTTGGTTGGTACTTAGGAGGGTTTGCGCCAATTATTACTTTTACTTTAAGAATTTTCTTTCTGGCCTGTGAAATCCTAAAGTGTGGGTACCAGTGCTCCAGCTCTCCTAATACCATGTTTTCATATATATAATGTGCATATTTTTGCCTAAATTTTTGAGGAAAAATAAGGGTGCACACAATACATGGGTAGTGTGGCTCAGGAGCTGGGGAGCCCAGCAGGCCTCCTGGGGCTGCTGCAGCATCTTGTCTAGGCTTGCCGGGTGTGTGGGGTTCCAGTCCAGGTGGACCCAGGATCTTGTGGGAATGGACCAGGGCAGCTTCTGCCAAGCACCACTATCGGGGAAGGAAGTGGTGTTGGGGATGGGGAGGCAGGCTGCAGTCATGCGAGGTGAGGACTGAGGCCCAGCCACATGGAGGGGGACCTGCCTGGCTGCCCCGAGGTGGCATGGCCTCAGAATCCCCTGCCCTGGTGGCCATACACATGGCCATCTTGGCTGTGGCTCCCATTGTGGTAGAGAGCAAAGGGCTCCAGGGTCATAGGGAAGGGGCAGCCTTCACAGAGCGGGCAGCTATAGGAGGGCAGAGTGAGTTGCATGTTTACCAGGAGAGCGTCTGTCCTCCCCAGATGTGTCTCTCCTGGCTGAGAGCCAGCCACTTTCTCAAGGGGTGTCTTCCTGAAAGTTTGGGCCCAAAACGACAGTGCACATTATACATGGGAGTGCATTTACATGGCAAAATATGGACTTGGTGGTTTTCTTAGTTTTTGACCCTTAAGGTGATGCCCACACAGTATAGTTGTAATTTACATGGTGAGAAGATAATCAGCCACCAACCTTAGGGGGAAATTTGCCCCAGAGTCAGGTTAGACCACCACCATATTTGGGGGCATGAGCTTTGCAAAAGGTTTTTGGGTTCAACACTGGCTCTCCCACTTTCCAGCTGTGGGATTTTGGAAGAATATATATACGTACTTTTTTTTTTTTTTTTTTTGGAGATACAGTCTCACTGTGTCACCCTCAGTAGGGTGCTATGGCATCACAGCTCACAGCAACCTCAAACTCTTGGGCTTAAGTGATTCTTTTGCCTCAGTCTCCCAAGTAGCTGGGACTACAGGCATCTGCCACAACACCCAGCTTTTTTCTGTTGTAGTTATCATTGTCGTTTAGCAAGCCCAGGCTGGGTTCAAACCCACCTGCCTCAGTGTATGTGGCTGGTGCCCTAACCACTGAGCTATGGGTGCCGCACCAAATTACTTAATATTTTTGAGCCTCAGTTTCTCATGTACAAAGTGGAACTAAAAATACTATCCACAGCAAAAACTAAAAGTATACCTACTGTTCAATCCAGCAGTCTCACTACTGGGTATCTCCTCAAAGGAAAAAAAGTCATTTTATCAAAGAGACACCTGCACTAGAATGTTTATTGCTGCACAATTCACAATTACAAAAATGTGGAATCAACCCAAATGCCTATCAATTCATGAATGGACTAACAAAATATGATATATATATACCTGTAGTATTTACTCAGCCATAAAAAGGATGAATTGATGCCTTTTGTAGCAATTTGGAAGGAATTGGAGACCATTATCTTAAGTGAAGTATCTCAAGACTGAAAAAACAAACACCAGGTGTACTAATAAACTGGAACTAACCAGCGAGCACGTATATGCACCGAGGGATGTAAACTCATGGGAAATCAAGCAGAGGGGAGGGTGGAGGAGGGAAGGAGCAAAAACCTACCTAATGGTCACAACGAATACAATTTGGGTGATGGGCGCACTGATAACTGTGGCTCAAGCAGTACAGAAGTGATCCAAGTAATGAAAATGTTTGCACCCCTTCACATTTTGAGATAAAAAATACCACTCATGGCACAGAATGCTAACAAGATTGAATGAACTGATGTATGACAAGCACTCAGCACTGACACGCAATAAATATTAAATCAACGGCGGCTGGTGTTGCCTAGACTGGGGTAACAGAACGGTAGCTGATGACTGACATGGTAGCATTTATCACAGTCATTGAATAGCTCGGCTGCTTAAATCACTGCCTGTTTATTGAGTGCCTGGGATGCCGCAGGCACTAGAAATACAAATGAGAAACAAAACAACAACAAAAATAACTTCTATCCTGGAGGAACAAAAGAATATAGCGGATTATGTGCCCTCTGAGGAGAAGGACCAATTCCTCCATGCACACAGAGAATTTCACTGAATTAGACCACAAAATTCCGAGCTTAAATCCAAATTAGGCCTCCTGGCTCCCATCCCAGGTTCTTCCCACTAGGCCAGTGTTCTCAAGCTTGCATCAGAATCACCTGGAGGCTGGGCCCAGCCCCAGAGAGTCAGACTGAGTAGGCTTGGGGCGGGCCCTGGGAGTCTGCATCTCCCACCACCTCCCACATGAGGCTGATGCTGTTGGCTGGGGCCCACAAGTGAGAGCCTCTATTCTAATGGCCATGAATGTAAAGGGAACCGTTTCCCTAGATATTGTCTGTGTTGTTTTCACTTTAATAGCCTAGAGAGAGAGAGAGAGGGAGAGGGCTTATTATACAGAGTATATTTATTAGTGTAATGATGACTCACCATTGTAAGTTTTCTTGTAGTGAAAACATGTTTCTTTTGGTCAATAACCTGCCTAGAAGGGAAAGTGGGGGGAAGAGGAGGGCAGAAAAATGACACAGATGGCCTGTTAGGTTTCTTTGCTGGTGACTGCTCTTGCCTCCCAAGTGGGGGCCAGTGAAGCCCTCCCCACCCCCTACCCTATGCCAGGGAAGAAAATTGCATGGCTCTGTCTGTGGGACCCATCAGCTGTTTTTGTCTGTGGCTTTGTGGGATATTACTTTGGGTTCTAGGCTTGAAAAACAGGGTTTCACCTTGTTGGATGTTCCAGCTGCACTTTCTATTAAATAAACTGGCCTTTTTTGACCTTTTTCCTGGATGGCCCAGGTGAATCTCTCTGCTCCCCCTCCATCCCCCCGGCCAAGTTAGCTGTCCTGCCTGCCTTTTTGCTGGTATTGCCAGGGCCTGGATTAGTGTTTCCTGGGCTCACTCCTTATTCTTTGGCAGACTTTTCCCCGGCTGTGCATCTTCTCCCCACCCCTGCAGTCTGGTCTTCAATCCCCTTTCCCTGCTCCAACCCCAAACTAAAGCTCCCTGTGCTACACAAAATGATTAGGTCAAGCAGATTATTTTAGACCAATTTCAGAGGAAATGCAGTTTTATAAACTCTTTCCCAAGTTTGAAAATTGTGAATGTAATCTCTTTAAATCAGCAGAAGTTTAGATAACACAGATTCTTTCGCTATAACTGTATTTTCATTATCTAGGACGGGAGTAGCAAAAACGCTCTTGATAGTCTAGGCAGTAGCCATAATAATAATAGGAAGCATATAAAAATGGGTAAAAATAATACTGGTATGTTAACATCTTTTCAGCCATGCTTATTGGTTCTGGCAGGATGGAAATGAGTCCCAGAAGGAGTGAGGTCAGACTTCCAGCTGAACATCCCTTGAGTGTCCCCTGAGGTGGGGCCTCAGTGATTTAGGTCTGTGGGCCACTGGCTTATCCTGGGACATGGTGGCCTCCCCAGAATAAGGACTCACACATATCTGGCCAAGACTTGAGTCCAGACCCATATTTTTCATATTTGTTGAGCACTCAGAAATAACTTTTTGATGCCAAGACTGAAAGAGTTCTGATCTAGATAAAATAAAAGTTTTAAACCTTGAAAATATACTGAGTTTACAGGCGAGTTCTCATTTTATTAAAAGTTCAGTTTCACAAGTTTCACATTCCGTAAGTCCTAGCCATTTGGGGAATGGGGTGTGCCACTCAGCACGTCCTGAGCCCAGCTCCTCATTCTGTCCAGTACTTTCATAAACAAAAGGCAAATGTCTCCGATTTTCACTTGTTTTTAAAATCCACTGGAACCTTACAGCTCACTTCACTTTTTGAGCTAAGCTGTAATTTAGTATTCTCTTTTGATTGTCACTTTTTACTGCTACTTTGTGTGCTCACAGAATGCAGGGGTTTACAGTTAGAGCTCTGCTAAGAATGACCACATAGGTCTCCAGCTAATGAGTCGGAAGATGTTCTTGAGTACAAAAAACTAACGACTCAAACTTAGGATAGCCCTTTCTGTAAATTTATATGTGTATTTATGTATGTCTACAGAGAAGAGCCTGGAAGGATAATAGGGTTTTCTCTGGGTGGTAAGATTTCAGGAAAGTTTGACCCTTCTCCTCATACTTTTCTGTATAACTTGAATTCAGTACATAATGTA